AGGTGAGTGGTTGTCTCACCTTGCGCCAGAAGTGTGCTGATAGAGAGTGTGGCAGCTGCAGGCTCCCAGTGCAGTGCTCTGCCTTTGGCTCCCTAGAGCATTCCCTGGGCTTGCCAAGCTGTAGTGCCAGCGCATCCCCATCGTGCAGGCAGCCCCCGAGTGCCTCCAGGCACAGTCTGCTGGTTGGAGGGGCTGGGGCTGGGCCTTACTCAGTGCATGGACGTCGTGTTTGTGTCAGCGTGTCCTGGGCTAGTTGCTACTTATGCCGGTTGGGTAATGGGAGCTTTCAGTGGCTCAAAGCTTTGGGGCCAGGGAGAGTGTGTTGCATCGGAGCAGCCTGGAGGAGGTGGCAGAGCCGTGGGGTGCTCTGGTGAACAGGGTTTGGCCCTTGAGCACCTGCCTGCTGCTGATGGAAGGGGCGTCTGACCTCTGCTGATATGTCTTGGAGGCCCCGGGGCTGCGCACTGACAGCTGCGGGCAGTGCATGGAAGGACGTCCCTTCCTGCTGTCCCAGCACCAATATGGCCAAGTTGCACTTGAGTCAGTGATTTGCCTCTTTGACAGCCATGTCCCCGCGCCTGCCCATGGCGCGTGTGTGGGTGCATGTGTGTGAATGAGCCCGTGGCCCCATGCGCTGTCCCCAAGCTCAGTGTCAGTGTTAGGCAGGAGCAGGGATGAAAGTTGTCTTGTGGTCCCTGTGGGGGGGGGAGAGGAGCTGCTGGCTGGGCTTCTCTGGGGTCTGCTCCAGGGGGTCCACCGATCACCGTGGCGGGAGGCTGGCACAGCAGCCCTTCCCTGGCACTTGCCATGCTGGAGGCCGCTGATAAAGGCAGTGGCGTCGGCATGTCTCTGCCTAACCTACTGACCTAACTCGACCCACTGTCCCCACGTCATGTAGTGTGTGAGACTGAAGCCTCCTGCCCTCCCCTGTAAGGCCTTGTAGAAGTCTGACCAGCCCCGCGCTAAAGCTGGAGATGCCGTGAGTGCAGAAAACCAGCAATGCTTGAGGCAGCATCGGGGAAGGGGCTTAGAGGACCAGGCCAGCCCTCAGCGGAAGGAGCCTTGTTGCAGTGGGCCAGAGCCCAGGCCACTGCCCTCTCTGCTCTGCAGCAATTGCCTGCTTCTCCTTTTTGTACTGTGCCCAAACCCAGCAAGCCGCCTGAGCCCCTGCCACAGTTGCGGAGGCTTGGAGCGCTCCTTGTTGATGGGTTTGTGGCAGGACCATCGCTGGCAGGGTCGATCTAAGCTCCTTTTGCTTGCACAGCAAGCCAGTGGCCAGTCTGGTCCCTGTCCCTGAGATTGCCATGGCAGCCCCAGGGAGCTGTTGTGCTCCCACAACCACTGTCAGGTGCCCATGCAAAGCTCTGCCTCTCGGAGCTGGGCTCGTTCCCTCTTCCTGATGCTTGTTATTAATTTAGCAATGCCTTGGTCCTTTGCTGCCTCGTGGGATCCAACCAGCTAGCCTGAGGTCAGGGCTAGGAAATGGAGCCTGGCCTGCTAGTGAGGACAGGCTGCTGTGATGGTGATGGGCAAGGGACGCTGCTGACAACCCAACCGGGCATCTCTGCGTGTAGCTGTGCGTGTGGCTGCCTGGGCATCTCTGGGAGATGCGAGTCCTTATGCAGTTACTGGTGCCCAGGCAGAAGCAGGCTCTTCCCCCTTCCTGAAGTCAGGGCACCTCTGGGAGGTGTTGCTGCCCAGTGGGCCCGTGGAAGGTGCCACTTGCATCCACTGGGGAAAAGCAGGCCTTGGAAGGCATCACAGACGTGCTGCGGGGATGGCGGGCCCGAGAGGCATGGCTACAATCTGTGGCGCCAGCCTCACCCTCAGAGGATTGTGGGGCACGTGGGTCCTGTCATGTCTCTTCCCACACAATCCCCTGCAGACCTCTGCCAGGACACTCTTGGCATCCCAGTACCAAGTCACTGCAGCTCCGGTGCCTGCCGAGTGCCCGTGCTTGGCAGCGACCTGACTGCATGGGGCTGATTGCCTGATGTCTGTCACTAACAGTGGTGAGCAAAGTGTGTGGAATCTTTAAGTCTTTAACAAATCTCTCATTAATCCTAGCTAAGTAGATTAAAGCTTACTGCAGGCTTTAAGAGGAGGCAAGCTGCTCACTCATAGGGCACTGACAGCATACGTGGGGAAGGAAAAGTCAAGCAGGGTGGCTTGGACCTTATATTTCCTTTGCTCTAGCATGAGGTGGGAGTGAGGAGAAAATGTTTCCCTGGATGTGGGGTCAAGTGGAAGCAGATGTATCTGGAGATACCACCTGCTTTGGCTTGGCATCGAAGTGCCCCCGAAGCCCCTTGGGCCACTAGTCTGTGCTGCTGGTTCCAGGGACTTGCGCAGGCTTCATGCACCTGACCCCTTAGCAAGCACAGAGCAATGCCGGGGTCCCCATGAGCCTCAGGCCCAGCGCGTGCTGAGGGCTGCCGTCGCTCAGGAGGATGCCGGCTCTTCAGAGACCCCCATAACCTCTTCAAGGCACAAGCCGGGCTCAGTGTGATGCACAGGCCCTGAATTTCAGGAGGCCTGAGCACAGGTATTGTCTCGTGTTGCACCTCAGGCCTGCTTACTTGCACGTGGTGTAATGGTGCTACCTATGGATAGACAAATGTGGAAGGACTGGAAAACACAGCTGGAAATCCGGAAGCAGGGTGGGGGTTCTGGGGATGGGGGACAGCCGTTTGCTGAGACTCCTTCGGCTGGACCTGCCAGTGCTGTGCCGCAGGTACCCGGACAGCAGCGATGCAGCTTGCTCCTAAGACCCCCGGTGACAAGCTGTGCAGGAGATGGTGAGTGGGTTCACTGAGCTGGTCACCTGGCAGGAGCAAGACTCGTTTTGCAGGGGGGTCTTGTGACAGTGTGCAGCCCAACTGAAGAGCGCTGGCAGGCAGAGCCCCAGGCAGCAAGGGCCCTGCACTGATGTCTGCCTGCAAGTCTCCTGCATTCCCAGGGTCAGGCCTAATGGAGCGGAGCAGCCCCTCTGTTTCCTGGCTTTGCTGTGACCCCCGAGAGGTCCCTGTGCCTGGAGAGCAGGGTGGCTGGGCCTGCACTCTGCCTCGCGAAGGACGGGTGGGGGGGTGACAACTGCACTAAGGCTCACCGGGCCTCTACTCCCTGTGTGTTAGTAGAGGAGACAAGGCTTTAAAGCTGCAGCAGCAGTCGTCCTCTCAAAGCAGCAATACTGCATTTTAACAGCATGACCTTTCTCCAGCCACATCAGGGAGTCAGCTGAAAAATGGCGGGGGCTCCCCCGACTCCTTTGCTAATACAGTGAGTTGTTCGTATTGTCATCCTCAGGTGATCACAGGGCAGTGCAGCTAAATGCTGAGCTCTGCTCACCTTGTTCCCCAAGCACTCAGCTTCCTGCCCCTGCAAACTGCCTGAGGGTGCAGTAAGTAGGTTAATGCTTGCTTTAGGGTTCGCCTGAGGGTTGAAGTTCCCAGTAGGCAGAGCCGAGTTCTGCTCATTCTGTGCATGTGGAAGAGAGTGAGCGCAAGAGCTCGGGCACACGTGAAGCCTTCCAGGTGATTTGCTTCCCCCAGTGCTGTTGTTGTGGAGGGTTGCTCCTTCATCACTGCCGAAGCAGCACAGTGCACTGGACAGCTCCCGACCTCATCCCACGCATGGGCTCGGGGCTGGTTGTGTTGTAATGGCACCGTGCTTGTGGGCTCGCTTCAGTGTTTGTCACTCCTCGTACGCAGCTGTTGAATCCCTCCCTGCGAATGAACATGTAGACAATGGCATTCATGTCTCTGGTTGTGACTTGCTGACTGCACAGACAAGTGGGGAAATGGCTGCTGCTTTTCTCAGCTCTGCCTACCCACTGGATGCCCTCCCGGCTTCCTGCTAGCAGAGCTCCAGCCGTGCTTGACAGGCAGCACAAAGTCTGCCTGTGTGGGCACACGTGGGGCAGCGGCTCCTGCAGCCCGCTCTGCCTGTGCCCAGCACCAGCCAGGAAGAGCACCGGGAGCAGCCTCAGTGCAAGGCGGGACCGGCAGTGCTCCCATGTGCTTGCTGGGCTGCAGTCTGCAGGGAAACCCAGGCACGTCCTGCTCCAGGGGGAGGTCACATCATGTCCCTTCAGGTCACGTCCCCAGCATCCCTCTGCTTGATGCGCTGCCCTGCTGCACCTCCACCCGTGTGCCTGTGCAGCCAGGCACTCCCATCCCTTCAGGAGAGCCTGGCTCTGTGCACAGACCCCTCCTCTGACAGGCACATGGGCCTCTGGGAACCGCTGTGGGCTCCTGACCTCTGCCGCTCTCCTGACAATCCCCCTTCAGGGGAAACCCTCTCATGAGGGCCAGAGGATGCCCTGTCCGCCTTTCCCCTTCACCCATTTCTTGTAGGATGTATATGATGCGCTCCCTCTGCCCCATGGAGGGTGGGGGCAATGCCTGAGACCCTGCAAGGACAGTGGCAGCCATGAAGCTGGTGTCTCTTCTGTGCACCGTGCCTGAACACCAGGGCAGGGCGTATGGGACTTCCCCGTGGCAGGATGTGCCCTGCCCCTCTTGGGTCACTAGAAGGAGGCTCTGCCAGGCCAGGTGGGGGTGGACTCCCTGCTGGGGCTTTTCCTGACCCCGCTGCTGGAAGCAGCTGCACTTTGTAAAGCTGAGGGCTGCAGAACAAGCTCCTGTCGGGAGAGACTGGCACAGGGGGTTGCAGACCGGAAGTGGGGACTCTGGAGATGCGAGCGGTATCTGCTCAGGCAACGGGTTGGCATTCACAGGGTGTTCAGGGGCCAGAAGGGATCGTGACCAGCTTTGAACTGTGTTTTGTCAGCTGAATCCTGTGCGAGCCTGGAGTCCTGGGAAGGGTGCCTCCTCAGTTACCCTGAGCTGGGCAAGCCCTTTCTTTCCAGGCTTACTTGCTGAGGAGGCCCTGAGACCACCGGGTCCCTGGCCCCGACACATCTCTGATTTCCACCTTTTCTCAGCTCTTCCTTCTGCCCAGGACCTTTGTTCACTGGTGTGTTGTGTATGTTGTTTCAGCGACTCTTCATCAGGGCGAGGGATGGAGCAAGAGGACCTGGGAGCTCAGGTGGCCTCCAAAGGGCAGCTTATTCATCAGCTAAGTGTCCAGCGGAGGGAGGCGGCTCGCAGCCAGGAGAAGACCAAAGCTGAGGTAGGTTCCTCCGTGCTTGCAGGTCCCCTGTCTTGGTGGGGGTGGCCAAAAGGTCTGGCCGTGAACTTGAGTGCAGGGCTCTACAGGTTCCCACTTCAGCCAGACTTTCTGGCCATTCAAGAAAACGGAGGTGGCGGCTCCTCATCATCACTGATGCTGGGAAGGACTGTCGAGGGCAGATAACAGGGCTGGGTCGCAGATCACAGAGCTCTGCTGAGACAAGGTGTGGTACGGTAAGGATTCCTCTAGCATCCGAGTGACACAAGATCTGGACTAGCAGCAAATTTCCTTCAGTCGTAGGGGAGGAAAGGACAGAGTCTGTGGGGGGTGAAGAGCAGTGACAGCAGGTGTGGTGCTGCAGACACAAGCTGGTCACGTTGCACAGATGGTTCGTGGAGGGGCAGGAAGCAGGCATCAAGGCAAAGCAGCCTGGGGTGGGCAGGAGGAGATGCAACTGCAATGCAAGAGATTGCTGGGGCTCTGTGTGCGTGGCTGGAGCTCCTGCTGGTGTCTGCCATGCAGACAGCTGCTCTTGTAACATGCCCTCAGCGTGAAGTTGCTGGGCTAGGCCTGCCTGCAGGAAGTCCCGTCCCAGTGCGACGACACCAGTCAGCCATAGAGGATGGAGCAGGCTGCTGCCAGGAAGTAGACGTGTGGAGCTCTGTGTGGTCCCCAGGCTGCGGTGCAGAGGAAGGGTTTGGTTTTCCCCAGGCTGCTAGGCTTTGCTGACTGCTGTGCAGGGCAAGGAAAGAACTTTTTCCCTTCATGGTCCTATGGGTGTCTGGGTTTTTGCCTTCCTAAGAAGCACTGAATGGAGCTGCAACCAAGGCTGGGGACCTTGGTTGGGGTGTGCCAGTGCTCCTGCTGGGACTTAAAATCCCTCGGATCCCTGGCTGGGAGGCCATGCTCCTCCACTCGGGTCAGACTGATCGTCACATGTGGGGTCAGGAAGGAATCTTACCCCTGATTAGACTGTCGTGGAAGGGAGGGAGGGCGTCACCTTCCCCTGAGGCGGGGGCATGGTCCTCTTCCCTGGATCTCAAGTGTATTTTAACCGATGACTCCTGTCCTTGCAGTGGCAGTGTGTGATTGGCCTTATCTCCCTGCTTTACCTGTGGCAGGTTAAAGGCTGTTCTGGGTGTTTCAGGCCTTGTGCCTGGTTGTTGTGTGCGAAGGTTGTCCCCAGAAAGAAAAAAGGGTTTGGATAGGGGTGATCCTGCCTCAAGCAAGGGGTCCTTTCCAGCCCTACTTGTCTGTGATTCTGTAATCTGCCCATCATGTCTCCCTCTGACCATGACCTAGCCTTTCTTCATGTTCCTGCCCAGCCTCACCCCAGCTCCTTGACTGAGGTGAGGCTCCTTGGCTCACTTTTCAGACTGCTTTTCTGTCCCAGACCCTGCTCTCCCCTTTGGTCTGGGTCGCCAGTACTCGGTCATGACAGTCCACATCCATCCACATGTTCCCTTCCTGAGCATCCCCCCACCCAGGTCTGGTACAGCCACGCTTGCCCTCTATCAAACATAGAAATGTACCTTAAGCGGGCATCTGCACGTGCTTGTCTGTTAGCGATCCTTTGTTCTGGGGTGTCATCTTCTGTGCAAGGCCTCTGCTGCTTGCCCTGGGTCCTGTGCATGGCACCAGCTGCTGTGCTGAGCTCACCTCCCTTATTTCATGACCGTGTAACCAAACTGCAATAATACTTGCTTCCCAGGAAAACCAGGCCACCACCTCCTTGCCATAGCTCTCTGTAGGAAAGCCACTCTCTAGAGACCACTGAGATGCTGCCCGGTGTTGCCATCATGCAGAAGTGAAAGCCACACGTGTGGGCAGAGGTCATTCCAAACATGTTGTCAGCCTCATATGACAGCAATGCAGGGAGAAGAGCAGCCTTGTCCCTTGGATTCCCTAGAGGGGAAATCTTACCATTTGCGCGATGGTACCAAGCTCCTTCAGCACTTGGGCGGTGCAGCATTGTGCACCTGGGAGTGTGGGAGAGAAGACCGCCGTTCCCTGGAGCAGTGGGAACTGCATGAGGTAGAGTGCTTGCAGAGCAAGAGCAAGAGCTGCTCCTCGGGCATTGCAGCCAGCTGCTGTTCCCTCCAGACCCAGGAAGAGCACTGATGATCAGACCAGCCACCTCCGAGGAAGTGCACGCTGCTCAATTTGCTGTTCGCATTAGATGTCTTGCAGTGCAGGAGCCCCATGTGCACCAAAGCACAGTGCATGGACACAAGGTTGACACTGGGCGCTCCGATCAACCATTGGGTGCAAAGAGAAAAGGAACGATGCTGTGAGTCTCCTAGGGATGATGGTGACGGGGATTTGCTGCCATGTGGAACTCTGGCAGCTCTTGTGATGACAGCACGTGCTAGCCACCTCTGAGGCCAGCAGCCTAGAGGCAGGAAGCAGAAGAAAGTGAATAAAGTCCGCTTGCTCAAGTGACTGGAGTTGTTCACAGGCCCATGCAGCCAGCAGAAGCACGGTTAGCCTTGCAGCCTGCGATAGCTTCATCTCTGCAGCCCCTGGCTGCTGCTGTCTCTTGCACTGGATTGATGGGTTGCTTAGTTGCACCTCTGGTGTGCAGCCTCTCCCAAGTGAGACTGCCGTTGCTGTACATGAAGACAGTGATGCAGCTTTTAGATGAGGTAGATGAGCCAGAAAGGTGCTAACAGAGTACAGATGCAATGTGGGTGGAAGGGTGTGGGATGGCTGTGGTATGGCGGGTCCAGGTGCGCAGGGTCTGTAGGGCTGATAGCAGGGACTGCGGGGTCCTTGCCTGGTTTACGCTATGTTAAGCTGCCTTAAGCTGAAGATGCATTGTGAAACCAAAGAAGCAAAACTGCAGAAACTTATGCGATGCCTTCACTTTGTGCATGGACTTTGCGCGACGCTCTAGCTTTGACTTAACAGACGTGTCAGTCATGCATAGCCTGCAATAAGTATGTCTACCTAAGTCCAGTGAGATTGCTTTTAAAGTGGTTTAAAATGGTTTCAGGTGATCACTTCAGACATGGCCTCAATCTCACCTCCACTCTGCCCACATGCTCTTCCCAGCACCCCTTTGTCTGCCTGGGGCCTCTCCTTTCTCATGGCATCTCCATGGTTTCCTGTCCCTCTCCTCTCCCTCCTCAGTTTGCAGGTTCCTTACTGGCTCTCGTTTTCTGCCCAGGTTGCACTGAGGCAGACCCTAGGTAAAATGCAGGGGGCACTGGCTGTGAGCAGTAGGGACAGGGGGGTCTGACACTGCTTCTGTGCACTTCTTACAGGACCCAGGATTGCTGACTAGCAGCTTTCCCTCGTGGTCAACCAACAGCTCAGCCCCTGGCTGAGGGTGCCTTCTGCCCCCTGGTAGCAGGCAGTTCCTCTGTGCAGATCAGCCACTGCTGCTGGTTGCTGCCCTTGCTCCTACTGGTAGGGCCTGTGCAGTCAGTCTGAAACATCTGACTTGCTGACGCAATGCATGGGAAAGCCGCGCGGGATGGTGGCATGTTGGCTTGCTTTGTGGAAACTGCAAAATGCCTGAGCAGCCCCAGCTCTGCCTTCTTGGGCACACATGCACGATGCAACACAGTTGGCAGAGGCATCATCATAGCGTTTTTTCCATGGGATCCTGTCCCCATCAGTGCACAGGTGGGTCTTGCTCTGGGGTTGTGTAGTGAGGCAGGTGGCTCTCTGCAGGGCCCTGGCCTTGACATTGGAAGCCATGGAAGGGACAAGCCATGGTGCCAGGGGTGGGGGTGTTGAGTGCTTCCCCAGTCCATGTTCACAGAGATCCATCCTGAATCGGCTATTGTAGACTGGAGTGGTAGAGTGGGCCTGCCCGGGGCTGAAGGCCTTCCCTGCAGGGATCAGCGTCACGTAGGTCACTGGGCAAGTCTCTTGTCACAGGCCTTCCGCAGGTGGCCACTGCTCACGTTCCCCTCTTCCCAGCGTGCAGCTGGCAGCACCTGGGGCCGTGTCTGCAGGAGTGCTCAGCCCTCGCAGCTGCAGCTGGAGCCTGTTTCTGTTTAGGACCCATGAAAAGCCTGGCCCTAGACAGCACTGGTCAGGCACCTGAACATAGCGGTGCTTTCTGCACCTTGATCTCTCTTCCTTGTTGCCCACTGTAAAACAGGGGCAATGCCCCCTTCCTTGCAACGGGGCACTTGGGTACCGCACTGACAAATGCCAGAGGACTCCCATGAGTGAACTGCTGTGCTCAGTGCAGGATTTGAGGGTTGCGCAGTAAAAGAGACCTGGGGGCACACACTGCCTGGCACAAATAAAAAGGAATATTGACTGGCTTATGCATCCTGTGTGCTGAATGAGTCAGGAGTCCTCTGGGGACAGTGTGTTGTGTAATTAAAAACTGGACCCCAGCACATACCGGTGATGGATCTGCTTGCAGGCACAGTAGCCGCATGCTTCCTGAGCCTTTCCTAGTTCCTGAGCCTGGCTCTAACCTGAGCACTCTCTCAGCACCGTCCTGTTGTATGCAGCACTTTTTACAAATGAAGGAATCGCATCTGTTTCCATGAGTGTTTCCTGCTCACTCCAGCTAATGAAAATTGCGCCGGCCAGGCATTCCTTGAAAGCCTTTCTCAATAGTTAATGTTAATCGAGACACCAGAGCATTCTCTCGGCTATTAATCTGCAGATAATAGAAGGCCCATTTCTTAAGTACACACAGAAGAAGGAGGAGAAGAAATACTGGCGATGACACAAAATGAATTGTCTTCTCCCGTGCCCTTGTAACCTAGGGCATGTAGTGCGGGCTGGCAGCCATCACGTTACAGATTTAAAAGTGCTGGAATCTCTCGGTTCCAGAGCAGTTGCCTGATGGATTGGTGAGTAATGTACTTGAAGAGTGCATTACCCGGCCCCAGACTAATGGCGAGCTCTTGCCCATGGCTCT